GCAAAGATGTAAGTCAGAGCACATTCAACCAAAGGATATTTAATCGTACAAAGAAGACAATTTGGTGGTTCAAAATTCAATGATAAAGGAATAATTCCTTCAAAAGTGTATCAAATTTCTTTGCACACATGGTGCTAAAATATAACATGTTGATGTTTATATCACCAGTATAGTACAGATAATCGGTTAAATCTGGACTGCAACAAAGGATTAAAACATAGTTATTAAGAAACGTTTCAGCGTTGACAACATTTATACAGGATGGCCCAGAATAAAGCAACTAGGTTCAAAAAAAGACCGTAGCCAGCCCCCGACGAAGAGGATACCATCTGGGTCTTAACGCCGGCCCCCATTCATCTATATCAAAAGACACTCCCCTCCAAGACCTAATGCCCACAAAAAGGTTAACATTCGCCAGAAAATAATCCGACAAAAACGTACTGGATCGTCCCACGGACAGACCATACGATCTAAAAAAATAAAGAACGCTAAAATATACTTCGCACCCAGAGCAAAACATAGGCGGAAGAACACCTCCACACAAACATACTTTAATAGTGGGACGCACACAACAAAAACCAAAGATAGAGAAAAAGGTAAAACACGCTCGGTATGCCTCCTCCCACGACACCAAGCTAGCAAACACAGACAGCTAGACCCAAAGACATATGAAGCAAGACATTCGAACAAGGGAACGAAAACCAAAGGTACGATAACACAGAGATCTGAATGAGCGCCAAAAGAAGAAAACGCGAGATATAACACAATGAACAGATAAAACAACCACACCACAATCGCCGCACAACAAGAAACCGAAAAAAACTAATCACACAACACGGACAAAAAACAACGCAACAAGGTACATACCACATATAAAAAAAAAAGAAAGCATAAGAGCACAACAAAGTGCAAATGCACGACAATAGCACACCACCAAAACAAAAATAAAAACATAACAAAAGAATCAATCAAACAAGAAACCAAAACACGACAACAGCCAAGCAGGAATAAAAACCACAAAAAGCTAGAGAACGCAACACCAGAATAAATACAAGAAAACAAGAAACATAAGCCAAAGAGAAAAGACAAACATACCGGAGCCCGTGAAGGGAGAAACGAAGATGCAAAAAAATAAAAAGTTACAATCAGTCCCAACACCAACCAACTGAACAATAAAGCTAACGACCAGATCAACCAAAAGACCCGCAAAAAAGGAAATGCTGCAAAAAACATCACGAGTCAGAACCAAAACCAAGAAAACCCCAAGCCACGCGGAAGGAAAGGTAATTTAAAAACCTTTTTTGAATTCTCTCCAATAGAAGACGATGTCTTAGGCCAGTCTCCGCAGAACAACCGCCCGAAAAAGCTATATGTATACTGCAGAATCCGTGGATAACCGTAAAGTACGGAGCACAAAGCTAAGCATCCTCCCAGCACAACAAGCGACATCCCCAATATGCGGTATAAACGATAGTCTACTATCAAAAGTTACTCCCAGATCTCTGACGGAAGTTAACTTAAGCAGGGAGATTCCACCTATACAGTAAGATGGAGGGATAGGAGTAGTTCTACGTGTAAAAGTGATAGCAACATTCCACTAAGATATCAAGATACGACTGCATCGTAGCCACGTCATCTTCCGAGGTCATAGGGCGAAATATCTGACCGATGCAAAGCCATTATAAAATACATAATTGGCCCTCCTTAATAAATACGATGGAACAAGACACATAAGCCCAGGGGAAAAGCCAAACATACTGACGTTCTGGAGGAGAAGATCGTGATTGATCGCATGAAATGCCTTAGAAAAGTCAGTGTCTACCGCTTCCACTTAACTACCCCTATCCAAGGAGTCACATATTACTTTCGTAATCACCACAAGATTAGTAACTTTTGAACGGCGCTTAATAAATATTGAAGTGAACGGGGTCTAATCCATCACCCTGTTTCAATCCTTGTTACCGTAAGGTGTCCAGATCGAATTGAGAGGCGGGGCAGGTGTTGTTATGTATGGGGAACAATAAACCTGTTTTGATTCAAGAATTCTGTAATTCTGAACAGTTTTGAATCTTTCCGGGGCATACGTCTAATATGCAGTATGTATGCGCAGAAATGTACTGCATCAAAGACCTGACCATACAATTTCTGATAACAACGCAGTATTGATATTTAGTGATTACTATGAGTTATTACAAGAACGTCACGATTAACTTATTGATAATCAGAGCCGCGACGTTGTCGGGCAACTCATTGGCTGCTCGTCGCCTTACGGTAGAGACTCGGGCCACATGGACCACATCACGCCACATATAGTATACCACGCTACTGGTTGAGTTTTAGTCGGACAATCGGCCAAACACGTATTGAATGCTGCACCGCAGAGAAGCCTCCCAAATTTTACATGGGCCAGCATTCAACCAGTATCGTTACGTTGCGGCACATCGATGTGCTCGATAGAAGCATGTTACTACTATGCTATAACCCGTTCGCTGCTCTATACAGATGGTGACATCAACAGCCCGAAACGTCGTGGCTCTATTGATAATTCACTAAAAATATGATAAATACCAAGATATACTTCTTTGTCAAATGTCATCTTTCCAAAAATTAGAAAATTACTAATTCCAAATCTAAATGTTATCTTTGCAATGCATCACTTTTCCAAGATTTATGACATCCTCTTGATCAGTATGTCAAAACACGGTTTAACTTAAGACAGAAAATGTGTTTAACAAATACATCAATTATAGAACATATATTGCAGCACCTCAATGATAAGTAACCCCAGTTTAACTTAAGATGGAGCTTAAAATAAGATTTGAGAGTAGGGTTCAGATTAAAGCATTTTAGAAAGGACAGGCATCTTATAATCTTATCATAACAGGATTTCCTATGTTACTAGTATACAACAGATACAAGATAGGACTTTCTTTCCTTCCAAGTCCCATTCAATGATATCAGTTATTCTCAGCCACATATTGGAGATTACTAATCACTTGCTCTTCTTGGTTGCCTACCAAGAGTACATTTTCTTCTCTTCGTTTTTCTTTAACAAGTTCTCTGATTTATCTGATGGCATTTAGTGTTCTTCCAAAAGTATTGACAACGCAGTATTGATATCTAGTGATTATTATGAGTTATTACAAGACCGTCGCGATTAACTTATTGATTCACTAAAAATGTGATAAATACTAATATGTACTTCTTTGGCAAACGTCATCCTTCCAAAAATTAGAAAATTACTAATTCAAAATCTAAATGTTATCTTTGCAATGCATCACTTTTCCAAGATTTACGACATCCTCTTGATCAGTATGTCAAAACACGGCCGTCTTATCAGCTCTTTCTTTTTACCATCCAGGCTTTCCGGAATATCTTACTTGATTTTTTTTGCAAAAAGAACTTGTATGAGCACCTTGAAGACAACAATAAACCTGTTTTGGTTCAAGAATTCTGTAATTTTGAATCTTTCCGGCCATACGTCTAATATACAATATGTATACGCAAAAATGTACTACATCAAAGACAATACAATACAATTTCTGATGACAACGTAGTATTGATATCATAAAGTGATTTATTTTAGCAACTTTATTTTCTATGAGGATACGTCAAAGCTGAGGTATACAAAGTTGAACCCTTGAAGCTCTGAAGGTGGCGATTGAGGACATGATCGCTGGAATTTCACAGATATACACTTCTTTAAAAGTATTCATTTCGTTTCTAGACTGTACAAAAAACAAAAAATGTTTTAATATATTTTTACTTATTTTTTTTTGAAATTTTTCATCTTAACTACATAGTTCTAATCAAGCTAATCAATAAGTATTACTTAGTGGAGAGTAAATTGGTGCCAATTGACGACGAACGACTTTCTCGTTGTACGACGTCGTTCCGTTTTAAATCAAAATCGTTCGCGTTTTAATATTATTCCATCGATGTTTAAAGTTTCGTATTTCACAAAAAAAGTTACCTCACTAACAATAAGTACTCTATGTGACTGAAATAATGCATTATTGTTATAAACCGAGGTTGCTAAAGACACTTTAATACTCACTAAACGTTTACGTTTTATGGAATAACATTTTAATTTTAAGGATTAAAAAAGATTTTGTACAAAAATTTATAAAATCTATTTTTCAAATTATTTACGCAACATCGCTTTGATTAACATTAGTATCGTTACTATTATTACTTAGATTCATATTGCTTTTATTTTTAAATTTGCGTGGTTTCGGAATTGGAGGAGTATCGACTTTAGTTGAATAATGCACGTAAAGAAAATCATCCTCGTCTTTATACTGAGAATAAATCATTCCCATTAATAATAACGGGTACAATATTTTTCCGGCCGCATAAAATCGTAGCGGTTCTTCCGGTCGAACGTTGCTTCTTTTTCGTATTAAATTTTGCAGTTGACCGAACGTCATCGTTTTCGGTATTATGAACATATCACGTCTCAAATCTATCTTTTTCGAGTCGATCGTTTTCTGAACCACCACCGGCACACAATCTGGATATAGATAATTTAACTCTTCGGATGCCGCTTGACGCGTCGATATCGGATGTGTAGTTTTAAAAATCGATTCCATTTCTTCCGTTACGTATTTAGACATTTTTTTTACCCCTTTATATCTTTGAATTGAAATTAATGATTTAAACGACTTGTTTAGTACAGCAAAAAGAATTGTTTGGCACGAATATTTAAATAAAATTAATAAACGTCAAAGTCTTTCTTAATAAAAATCATTTGTGCATTGAAATACAATTTTAATTTCATTTGAAACACTCTAATGTTATAAATAACGAAGGCCGTTAAAAGAAAGTGATTCAAAATCCTTGTACAGCCAAACAAAAAAAAATTGCATTAATTTATTAACCTTTGATCGGCTCTAACAATTGAATTCTTTTTATCTGTCATTGTCCCACCGATTAATTCAATCTGTGGATAAATTTTGAATATAAAAAATTAAAATTAATGAAATGTTATATTTTTTCAGACTAAATTATGGGTGTTTCCTGAAGGAACGCGTCACAACACCGGCGAACTTCACCCGTTCAAAAAAGGAGCCTTTCATTTAGCAATTTCCGCCCAAATACCAATTTTACCTGTCGTTTACAGCCAGTATTATTTTTTAGATGACGCCAATCGACGTTTTGACCATGGTAAATAATTTTTTAAAGCATTTGTATGATAAGCTTAGATATTTGCGGAAACTAGAACATTCGGGTTTAGCCATGCGGCTTAAAGTGGCTGTTGTAAAGGAAAATCAACCGTCGACCAAATCTTCTTTCTTGGGCAGGCCCTAGAAAAGACCTCGAATACGGGATGGACATTCACCACTTATTTATAGATTTTAAAACTGCATATGATAGTGTAGATAGAAGGTGTATAACGCAATGAAAGAATTCAATATCCCAATACATTTAATAAAATTAGTAAAAGCAACGTTCTCACAAATTGAGTGTAAAGTGAAGTCTGAAATAAGTTATCAAAATCATTTCAGAAAGGTGTGGGGCTACGCCAGAGGGATAGCCTATCATGTTTACTGTTTAACATATCTCTGGAGAAGACTGTAAGAGAATGTGGTATAGCAAATAGAGGAACCATTCTTAATAGAAGCGTACAGATACTAGCATACGCCGACGACATAGATATAATAGCTAGAATTAAAAGGGAACTCATAGAAGCCTTCAAGGCATTGGAAGGGCAGCAAGGAGACAAGGGTTACAGGTACGTCCAATACGTCCAAACCAAAATATATGAAGGTTTCTAATAACGTTCAGCTAACAACACCTGAAGATCTGATTAGTGAACCATACACGTTTGAAGGTGTAAAGGAATTTATATACCTTGATACCCAGGTAAATGAAAATAACATAAAGTCTGCTGAAATTAGGAGAAGACTGTGTTTTGTTAATTATCATGTTCTTAAGGGTAATATGCCAGATACACCCACAGCTGCCAGATATCAGCCTTCATCTGGCAGCTGTTATTGTGTAAAAGGTCCCAATACATATTTAGAATACAAGTGGTTAGGCCACTCATAGTACATAATACAACATCTCCGCCTTAAATTTAATTAATATACAGGGTCATCCACGACGACCGTCCATTAGAACTATACAGGATATCCAGAAATTGCGTTCATATATTTGAAGAGGTAATTCTACATAAAAAATCATGAAGAAAAAAAATAGAAGGAATGTGCAGTTGCGGAAATAAGGGATAGGGGGCGCAATTTATTTTCCATATTTTTTTTTGCTTTGATCTTTTCATTATTTTAATCTCAAAATTAGAATCTACGGAAAAAAATACATAAAAAATGTTCTGCTTATAAAATTATCTACGACCACTCAAGATAAATAATACTAAGTAAAATACTGCACACAAACATGTGTATCAATTTAAACAAAAATAAAAAGTTTAACTTAAAACATTAACAAAAAGCGCTTAAATTTTTAACAAATAACACCAAAAAAAGTATTGTTCAAAAATTCCACCATCCATGTCGATGCAACATCTCACTCGTTTAATTAATGAACGTCTTACTTTCCAAAAAATACCTTGTTTGTTTCGAATAGTGTTACAACCGTCCCTTACACGTTGTTCTAGCTCTTCAACATTGTTAACTGGTGTTGCATACACTAAATAGTATTTAAGGTACCCTAGAGAAAGAAATCTATGGTATTCAAGGCCGGCGAACATGCATAAACCACATTTCCCTTCGTGTTTGATCCGGCACTTCATCCATCAGTTCAAACAAGGTATTTTCCGAAAAATTTAAGATAATTTGTACCGTTGAGACGGTTATCAAGTACATGCGAACAATCATCTATGAATAGAAGCGAACGTTCTTTCACAGGGAAGTTGTAGATTTGGATATCGTTCTGCGTACAATCTTCGTGCCTCTCTGGCATTTGCATCAGCTCTACCGTACGTAAAGTGAATGTTTGCCATCTCTTCGTTTGAGTATTGAACCATTTTGATTTAATTATACGTAAATTACAATAAAGGTTTTTACACTAAAATATTTTTTTATCGACCGCTTGACAGCAAAGATCAACAAATAAAAGGAGTCTACTAAGATTTTTAGTGATAGTTTAATATACATGTTTGTGTGCAGTATTTTGCTTAGTATTATTTATCTTGAAAACGAGTGGTCGTAGACCATTTTATAAGCAGAACATTTTTTATGTATTTTTTTCCGTAGATTCTAATTTTGAGGTTAAAATAGTGAAAAGATCAAAGCAAGAAAAATATGGGAAATAATTGCTTATTTATCCCTTATTTCCGCAACTGCACATACCTTCTAATTTTTCATTCGATTATCGTATTCGCCCTGTAAAAATAGCTAGATATGCAAAATTTCGTGTTTCTAACCCTAGTAGTCTTTGAAATGAGAGATGACCACATATTCAACGTCTTCTTCAAAGTGTTCTACCTCCCTTAGGAAGCATTTTAGGACACACCTTTATATGAACTTTTCTTCATGATTTTTTATGTAGAATCACACCTTTAAATATATGATCGCAATTTCCGGACATCCTGTATAGAGAACCAAATGAAGTGGGGGTTTGAAAATTTGCGGACTTATGATGTTTGATGGGAGCTTTTTAACTAAAATATTTTCAGATTACCGGTACTTGTGGTTACACCGGAAGTGGTGACAATTTTGATATTTCAAATGGAACCTCCTGTATTTTATTACATTTTTGAAATCTTTGTTCAATTTTAGGCTACTTGTATGTTACATACAAACTGGGTTGAGCAACTGCCTGGACAACATATTCATTAATTTTGCTCTTAATCTTTTCGAAACAAGAATCTATGACACTTACTTATCGTATCATTGTGCTCAAGGCATTGTTGTGTCTATAAACCGTGTAAGCTATACTTCTCAAGTAACCCGACCAATTACTAGTATTGGTGGTGTGATTTTTTTTGATACTTTTGTCAATTATGGCTTTGAGTTCTTGGATGATGGTTCATTGGGTGGTAATAAAAAATTTAAGCTTTTTCATAACATTTTTCTCAAGTGCTTTACTACTAGCTATCCTAAACGTAAATGTACATGGTGTCCAAATTTAGATGGGTTTGCAGGGTATCTCAGTTATTATGAAAGATAGAAAGTTGCGGTTTTCGCGAACCTGAGCTACTTTTTTGTGAAACTTACACTGGCGCAACCAAAAGTGTTTCAAAATTTACGATTTTCAGACATCCCCTGTATCGCGGCTATCACGGTTATCACGGTTTTTGAGTTATAAACACAACTTAGGTTTTTTTAAATGGAACCACCTATATTTTATTTTTTATTGAACTAGAATTTTTTCAAGCTTTTCAATTATATACAGGTTTCCCAAAACTCCCGGGACGGAGCTATAAGTTTTGAACGAATGAAGAAAAATATTTGAAAATTTGGGGATCACTAAAGAGTCATAAAAACTACATTCTTAGATAGTTTAGAACTTCCGTGCAACGTGGAGTTTTTTAGGGGGTGACCACCCCTACATTTTTAAATAACAACCCCTATCGAGTTTTACCTTATTTTAAAGGTAATGGAAAAAGAAACACAACCCCATAAACCAAAACCCTATATCTTAATTCTTTCAAGAATTATGAGGGGTTGACTACCAAATAGGAAAATAAAATGTTTTCATGTTTTTTTGCACGTTTATTACGATTTTTATAACAATTGTAATTTCAACATTTGTTCGACCTTCTTCGGTCTCGCAATGACCCAAACGCTCGACCGTCTATTAGGTCGTCGTGATGGCCCTGTATTACAAAGTCTTTAAATTTACTTGCTAACTTGAATTCACGTTTACAATGTGTCATTATTGGTATATCAGTTTCAGGTATTTCAACAGTCTGATTGCTGCCGGATTTATCGATAGTTATATGTTCCTCATCATCAGGAGATCGCGGATATATTATATTATGTGATGTTCTCACATGAAAGCTGTTCCTTTTGATTCTTGAACCATTCTCTGTTGTTAATTTGTACGATCTAGGGTTTTCTTCCTTCTCAACTATCTTAGCATTTATCCACTGTTTATTTATCTGAACTGTCATATTATCTCCTGGTTTAAAATTTACTTCTTTTCTGTCATGCGTATTTTTATATCTCTTGATTTGCTTTTAATTTATTTTTAAAATCATTAATATTTGGTTGCAATTTATCTGGATGAATTTAGTTCTTATTATTCTTGACATTAGCATTTCTGCTGGAAAATATCCTGTATTTGGGCATGGAGTAGCTCTATACTCCATCAGCAATGGTCTCAATGCATATTTAAGCTGTAACTTTTCTTTAAAATTTGTTTTGCTATATACACTACTTTCTTTCCCATTCCATTACTTATTAGTAATTATTTTAAAGTTCCATTGTTTAAAATTTTTTTTCAAGTATTCTGATCCAAATGGTACAATGTCAGCTATTATTACCTCTGGGACACCATAACTTGAAGACACAATTAATAGTTTATCGCTAATTTCTGAAAATGTCTTAGTTTTAATTTTAAAAATTTCAATCCATTTGGACAAACAATCTATTACAACTAAATAATCTTTGCCACTATATGTCATTATGTCCATTCCTAGCTTTTGAAGTGGTCTCTCCGGTATCTCATGGGACATCAATGGTTGTTTTCAATTCGTAATTGAATATCTTTCACAAATCGAGCATTTACTGATATATTCCACTATTTCATGTATTACACTCGGCCAAAATATAGCTTGTGTAGCTAGTAATTATGTTTTTGTAATTCCCATGTGGCTCTCATGCAACAATCTTAAAGTCTTAATATTTTCCTGTTCACAGCGCCATGTTTTATTAATTATCGTGTTCTTAAAGGTAGTAAATGATACACCCACAACTTCCAGATGAAGACTGGTTTATTGTGTAAAAAATCCCAATACATATTTAGAATACAAGTCGTTAGGCCATGCATAGTACACAACTTAACAATACAACAGACTGTATATGGCTATAGAGCTTACTTTAGACTGAAAGAAATATTAACGTCAGGTGTCACATATGCGTCAGAAATATGGACGATGACAAAAAAATGGTGTAAACTTGTTAGACTGCTTTGAGAGATTACAATTTGTTGCCTAGAGGAAGATATAAGGACTGTGTGGAAGAAAGTCTAAAAATGCTGAGTGTTAGAAAGTGGAAGGCCAAGGAACGAGAT